GAGCCCAATGCGGGGCTCGATCCCAGGACCCTGGGATCACGACCTGAGCCGAAGGCAGACGCTTAACGACTGAGCCACCCAGGCGCCCCTATTTTGCTTTTTAAAGCTGAGACAATTTGTTTCAGGTAGTGCTGTTATTTATAGTTTCAGATACAGTTTTCTTAGTGTATCTTAATAGATTCCACCTTAAGCCCTGGACCATTTATTTTTATTTCTCCTCTTGCCTTTACTTTCCAATGATCAACTGCAAGGTATTCTCTACAAACATCCCCTCCCCTCTTCTCACCTCACTTCTGAGCATCAGAAAATCATCAACATCACCTTTGGTGAACATACTTTCATGTAAGCATATCAGCAAACTGATATCCAATTATTTCAAACCTGTCATTATCAAAATCAGTGTCTTTGGTAAAGACAGTTTTCACTTAAAATAAGTATTGCAAGGAAGTCATCAATCCATTGTACTTCCAACAAGCTGTATGACCTTGGGTAAATTATTTACTTGTCTGGTGCTCCATTGTATCATCTGTAAAAAACAGATTTTTTAAATAGTGCCTGGCATATAGTAAACCCAAATTAGCTATTATAGTATTATCTGGTAGGACAATGAAATATGTTATTCTTCTATTCCTAAACTTAAAAGTCTAACTGAGGAAGGGGATGCCTGTGGAGGATTATCTGATGGGCATATACGTAAAGGAGACAAAGGGAAAAGGATATTCTAGGCTAGGACAGTATGGGTATATTCATGGAAGTGGGAAACTGTGACATTGGGTTGTGGGGGAAAGGACTCAGGTTGGGAAGCAAACAATGAAAACCAATTGTGGGATACTTGCTACGTGTTGGCAACTGTGATAGACAGGTTTCACTCACTGGGAGTACAAGAATGGGAGGGGGACAGAGAATGCTCAAAAAATATGTTTCCTGGGGTGCCTGGGCAGCTCAGTTGGTTAAGCGTCTGCCGTCAGCTCAGGTCGTGGTCCGAGGATCCTGGGATCGAGCCCCAGATCAAAAGGTCCCTGCTCGGCGAGGAGTCTGCTTCTCCATCTCCCTCGGCCCCTCCCCCTGCTCTTGTTTTCTCTCTCATAAATGAATAAATAAATTTTTAAAAAAATTATTAAAAATGTTTTCTGCTTTTTTTTTATTCAGATGATGTGACTCCAGTGACTCCAGAACCATTCACAGAAGATCCTAGTAAGCTATCCTTTTTATTTCTTCGTTGTCAAACTGGGAATAGGATTGAGATGTCTGTACAAAGATAAATGAGGAGTAGAGAGACGTTAGTGGGCACTCTGAACTCATGCAGACCCTAGCGTCTCGGATACCACTGATGCTGTGAACATGTTTTCTCTCCCACTTCCTTCCTCAAAGTCCCTTACATGGGCCCAAGAGGCCATATCCTTTCACTTCAATCTTTCTTGCCTCCTTTTAGATCATCCCTTTATCCTGCTTCCCTTTCCCACTTTTCCTGCCTGTGTTTTTTTTATTCTTTGTGTTGTATCTTTGCAGATCTGGTGAATGAGCCCTCTACAGATGAAACAGGTAAGTTTTACTACCGCTTTTAAAATGGCATGATTGTTAATATCCACAATTATTTTTCCCAGCTTTTGAATTAATCCTGTATTTTTATCTAAGAAAGGGATAGAGGGATTGGGGGTGTTTTGTCCAGTGACAGTGGGATAAAAAGAAAGAGAGTCCCCATTCCTCTAAAAAGATGAAACAAAGTGGATGAATAGCTAAAATAAGGCATGTATAATAAAGTATAATGTCAGTAGGCCAAATATTCTTCAAAAGGAAATTTCACAATTACTTAACAATTAACTCTATTCCCTTGGATATAATACACAAACCCAGCCATAGCCTTGACTTTGCCCCATACCGCCATGCTCCCTTTTTTTCAGTCTTCATTTTTTATAATGGGGGAGGGGCAGAGAGAGAATCGGAAGCAGGCTCCAGGCCCAGTGCAGAACCCAACCCGGGGTTTGATCTCAAGACCCTGAGATCATGACCTGAGCCAAAACCAAGAGTCAGATGCTTAACCACTTAACCGACTGAGCCGCCCAGGCGCCCCTTCATTCTTCCTTTTTCTCCTGTGCCTTCCCCCTTGCCAGTTCAAAGCCCTCCTCATACCTGCTGTTTTGTGCCTTTTCAGTTCTGGCTGATATCGAGCCTTCCACAGATGACCTGGGTGAGTTCAGATCTGCGATCCCAGGGCCACTGGGGCCACTTTGGGCTTTCCCCAGAGCCCATTACGGAAGGCAGTACAGTTGGTGAAGGATCCGACACAGACAGGACTACAGTTTATGTAGCACATTCTTCCAACAGTTCAATTTAAATTAATGACATTTTTGATCCCCTAACAAGCAGGGGCTGTGCTGGGTGTTTGACGTACAAAATACCAACATGTCATCTTTTCCTCAAAGTTTCCAAGCCTGGGTGGGTAAAGGCAAGACAAATATATAAACAGATCAATGTTTGGGAAGCTAAAGGGAAACTTCCTAGAAGTAATGGTTGAACCGATTCTTGAAAAAAGAATTGGAGCCAGTCAGGCAGTCAAAGAGGGAACAGTATGTTCAAAGATTTGAACACAAAATAGAACTTGGCACATTGAGGAAATTTTTTTTTTTTTAATGAATAGGGCAAAATCTACAAGAAACAAGTGGTAGGATGTGAGAAAATGAGACAGAAACTAGATTTTGAAGAAATAGTTACTGAAAACCTACTACTGAGTACCAGGAATATAAAGATGAACAAAACTGACTTCCTTTTACTTGATATTTTTTGTCTAATCCACAAGATAAACAAATGGGTAACTTTATTCAGTTTTACAAAATGCCGTAATCAGGGTAAGTAAAAGAAGCAACAGACGACTAAAAAGAGTCCTGGAGTATTCAGTGCTGGGGCTTAAGAAAGGCTTCTGTGGAGGGCATACTAAGTTGCTTCTTGAACGACAAGTAGAAGTGAATCGAGTAACGAGGAAGAAGAGCTTTTGGGTAAAGAAAACACTATGCGAGAAGGCTTAGGATGGAAATAAAAACCCATCAGAATAGCTTAGACAAAGAAAGGTTCCCATCAGATTTGTGAATTGGAAATCCAGCCAGGATGCTATTGCCCTAGTCCCAATAAAAGATGATGGCCTGAACTCACTGAGGTGGAGGTAGGGAGAATTAAGTGTGAGCAGTGAAAGAGAACTGTTGAGATGAGGTCCAGTGTCCTGTTGTGTAGATGGTGGGACCATTCACTGAAGAACAGTTTGAATCAGTGAAGGGAAAGATAGGACAGTTTAAGATGTTAGATTTGAAGGATCTTGGAAAAATCCACAAACTCTTCCATAAAATGTCAGGTGGCTTTTCTAGAAGTCTGGAGCTTAGAAGAGATCTGGGCTGGAAGGAGAAGTCTGAGAATTCTCAGGATTTAAGCCTGCAATTGAAACCAGGGGACAGATGAGATCACCTAGCATACTTCCCATAGTATTCTATCTATCGACAACTCTTCCAATGGCATTTTGACACATAACTCCCATGGTTAGTGTCTTCCCAAGATTCATCTTACTCCTTGACTTATTCATTCTACAAGTTAGGCCCATATTTAACTTGACCTTAGATTAAGTTTGGCTATGGCTGTGACCTTTGCTAGTCTTTGCTGAGTAACTTTTATCCAAGAACTCATGATGACATATTTGATTTACAAAGAAATTTTCTTTTATGAGTAAGAGCTTCTACAATCTTTTCTCCCTTAGCTGTAGGATGAATCTCTTCTGGGCATATGGCTCCTTGCCTTGTGTCCCTACTAAATTTGCTTCTTGTCAACAAAACAAAGACACAATGAAATCAATTTTTCAATTTTAGAAGAGGAGAAAGGCAAAATCAGATTTCCTATCCTAAATTCTAAACCTCTCCAATTTTGTGGAACAGCTCATTGTGGGTTTTCTGTTAGAAGTTGCTAAAGCTTAGCAACTCATTTGTTTTTTATTTATAAGTGAGGCGACATGACAGTTGTAGAGGTGTGACTACTGGAACTGGTAATAACTGAATAAAATTTTTGCCTTCCAGCTTCTCCTACTGATAAAAATACCACAACAGGTATGACTGCATGTCTTCTTCCTCAGCCTTCTTCTTGGGGATTCACACCTCCTTATTTTTGGAGGATACTTGGTATACCTTCTAGTTTGCTTCCAGTTCTTTCTCAAAGAATATTTTTAGTGCTCTTCATTCCTACTCTTTTTTTGTGAGCTCCTATCTTCAATCTCATGGGGAAAAGATGGGACCACTGCTGGATGATCCTGAAAGAATCCTCTTCCTAAACTAGATTTGGACTTTCTGTGGTGGTTAGTGAGTTGGGAAGTAACTGCAAGGACCCAATATTACTTGAGTTGTCATGGCCAAAGTTGCTCTCTCTATTGTACTGATGATTCTGATGTGCATCTAGGACTGGAAACTGCTAAAATAGAAACTATTACCCACCTAAGAATTCTGATTCTTTAGAATGGGGTTAAAAGCATCTCAATTTTATATTTCATATGGCCACCTGGAGAACCCTAGAAAGACTTTCCTAGAAGAACCCTCAAAGATTATTTTATCAACTTCTGCTTCCAGGTAGGAAAGCACCTAAATTTTATTTCAGCCAATTTCCTACCGTTCTCTTTTGGTAAACAGGGAGGGCATTCCCCAAACTGCAATGATTCTGTGTAGAGACTACTTTGTATTTTTTCCCCATTTTATCTACCTTCTTCCATCTCTTGAATCCTTTGTTTATCCCTGTTTTCTGTGTTTGACTTCTTCAGATTGCCGGGATGAAAAATTCGCTTGCACGAGACTCTACTCTGTGCATCGACCAGTCAAGCAATGCATTCATCAGTTATGTTTCACAAGGTAAGGGATCCCAGGATATGCAGAAAGCATCATCCATGGTCGTATTTTCATGTCAGTAACTGTTTAATGAGCACCCATCATGGGATTTCAGTTTTTGGTGGCACAGAAGTTCTTAACATGATCCTCCTAGCTATTCCTGCTGGTGCCAGATAGAACCTGGAGTCTGAATTGAGGTATATGGAGAACAGACTGACCAATAAGACTAGATGCCAGAAAGCAAGTGAGATCAGGGCTGGGGAAGGGACAGTCATGAGAGAAATACTGGCACAGTGAACCTATTACCTCATAGAAAAAGGCTGAAGCATAAGATCCAACTCTAAAGGTAGAAAATAGTGGGGAGGAGTATTAAACTTGACTCTAGGTGGAGTGTGTAAAGTATCACTAAGAATAATACCATTCCATTCCCTGCACTCCTCTGGGAGGGAAAAAAGTGATCCAAAATAATTAAGGAAATCCAGAGAGGAGGAGAACAGATAGGGAGAGTGGGAAATACAGGAGTTGAGCAGGCACCCTTGGCCTAGTCTAGTTCTCCCCCACAATGCTTTGTTCTATCTCCTTCCTTAACCATGTTACTGGGACTATGGCAGTTTACGACGTATGTACATCATCAACAATGAGATCTGCTCTCGTCTTGTCTGTAAAGAACACGAAGTTATGAAAGGTAAGATGATGTCTGGGTTTTAGTGGGGAGGGGCAGTTATGAGAGAGGTGAGTAGAAACATGGTCCTAATGGATCCAAGGTCTGGCTTCTGAGGACGGCTTTAGGCCACCTCCTTAAACCTCATCAATCCCTGCTCCACCCAGTTATGCTAAATAAGCAATCTAAGTAAAGAAGTATGCTTAATATATAAGAAAAGTATGCTTGGGTCTCTTTCCAGCTAGGTTGTAACCCCCAACCTCTCCTATACATAGAGCTTTCTGAAGCTCTGGCTGCTTTGAAGCTCACTGGGGTTCTATGTGAAAAGGGCAAGTCAGGGGCACCTGGCTGGCTCAGTCTGGGGAGCAAGCAACTCTTGATCTTGGGTTCATGAGTTTGAGCCACTCATTGGTTATAGAGATTACTGAAAAAAAATGAAAACTTAAAAAAAGGCCAAGTCAGCCATTACAAACAATAGACTAATAGTTGGAAGCCATGATCATAAAGGAAAAACTTTGTAAAAAAAAAAAAAAAAAATCCACTAATTTGGAGACACTGATGTTTGTATAGAGCCTATAAGTAAATAAAAAAAAAACCAGACTGGATATTTAGAAGTTGGCAACATTTAAACAGTCTACCAATGCCAGGAACCACTTAAATTACTTATTGTGAAAATTTAGAAGTAAACAAGGGTAGAAAACCTTTATAAAAACGATTACAAGGGTCCAAAGTGTGTGGTTATAAACCGTGCATTGTGGGAACAAAGATACTTCTCACCTCCCCTATGGCCAGCCCCAAACGATAAGTGTGGTTGGTGAAGGAACCACAGACACAGCCCCTTCTGACTCAGCAGCCCATCTTGCACTGAGCTCCTGAGTAAGAGCTGTAGTTAACTTCGCAGAAGGAAACTTGCTACTTGCCCCCATTGGCGTTGTGCAAGCCACCTGCAAGGGAAGCACCTTGAGACTGAGGATGAGTATTTGGGACTCTAGGCACTTTCAAATGTCTCAGGGGACTTACTAAAATTAGCTATTTGCACACAGTAAACACTTAAATATATTGTGAATGATTGAATCTTTTTTTTTTTTTTTTTTTGCTATTAATAAATCCATGATTATAAGAATTGGGAGCTAGGTATACAGAGGAACCTAAAATTTACTGGCCACCTGTGCTAGGTACTTTGCATACATTATTTCATTTTAATACTCACAACTACACTGTTGAGGCAGGTATTTCATGCTTATTATACTGGAAGGGACAGTGAGGTTCAGCAAAGTTAAGAAACTTTCTAGTAAGTAAGAAATAACCAGTAAGCTGCACATCTGGGGTTCTAGCCCAGATCTATTTCTCTTCAGTCTTTCACTACAGCACCCTAGGGTCTTCTCTTTCTCTTTAAACAGGAGCCCTTGTTATTTTTTTGCAATCCCACCCCATTATGCTCTGCTTCTCTTCTAGATGAACTTTGCCGTCAGATGGCTGGTTTACCCCCAAGGCGACTCCGTCGCTCCAACTACTTCCGACTTCCTCCATGTGAAAATGTGAATTTGCAGAGACTCAGTGGTCTGTGATCATCAAGGAAGAGGAAAAGAAGAATGTGTGGGTGGGTGGAAGAGAATGCTCTAACAAGAGGGAACTCCTTCTTGTCCAACCAATGTCCACTAACCCACAGACAGTAGTATTTCTTAAAACAATCCCTTTGCAGTGTCTAGCTTTTGCTTCCACTCCCTGATTTTCCATCCAGACTGATAACATAAAGTCTATATTATTGCATGGTTTTGCTGCTTCTCAATATCATAGACATAGATTAATGATAACCATGTGGCTTATATATAAGCACTCTACATACAATTTCAAAGGAAAATAAACCTTGGGTTAATATTTACCACCGAATCTGTCTGAAATAAATCTTAGGGTGGAAGAAGTTGTTGCTGTCCATTTTGGCTAGCCATTTTTTTGATTTTCAAGAGTTTCCTAGATTAACGCCTCATTCATTTACATAGCACTCTTCACTCTTATTTTAACTATTTTCTGGATTTGCCTGCTCAGATCTTCTTTGAGAAGAGTCATGGTAATTTTTGTAGTCCTAGACAATTCTCCAGAACCAAGAGTTACACAATCCTACTGGCAATATATAAAGACCCAAGATGAGGTCTGTTAAGTTTAGAGGCTGAGGATAGAGAGAGAGGAGTAGGCTATGTATGGAACTGGGACTCATTGGTTCCCTATTCACTTTTTCATGCAGTTGTCCAATTGGCAAGTAGGGGTACAAAGTCCCATTTACCTATTTTTGGTCATATGGGGGTTGCCCACCCTCGCAAATTAGATAATTTCATGTGAAATAATTTCTGACTTTGGTCAGAGTTTCCTTGATTTGTGCTACTTCTTTCATTCTCATCACTAAACAAAATCTGTAGAGATTACCATGCAAATGGACTCTGGAATAGCCTGATTTGGGCTTAAGAAGGGCATTCAGACCTAAATTTTAATAAGCAGACCAAGTTTACCTATTGGTTTATAAGAAAGAGTAAAACACAATATTCAGACAACCTACATCCTTATCCTGGCTCTAGCAGTAACCAGGTAAACCAGTAAGCCAGGTTTAATTTCCCATCTCTAACACGACAAGGTTAAATTTATGTTGGTTCTAAGGTATCTTTTCATTCTGCGATTCTTAAGATTTAAATGCATTATTTGAATTTCTTGAAGTCTAGATGCACTCTAATTTGTAACCACCATGTGTGCTTCAAAACAGGAGAAATATATTAAGACAGCAGTCCACAACATAAAAGAAAAAAATCCCATTACAAGTTACCAATTACATACTATAGATCCTTCTATCTGAATAACTTAGTAACTTTCCAAAAAAGCCCACAAAAGTCAACTAAGATAAGAAATAGGAGACTTTGAGGCAAGTTACACACTCAGAATTCCTCTCTGCTTGGTAGGGTTGGATTCTTTTCCTATTGAAAAAAACTATGTAAATGAGCATCAGACTCTTGCTGTTAAGAAACAATTTAGTTTAATTGGATTTGCACAACTGATTAAAGAGAAATGCTAAGACCCAAAGCATGTAATCTCTGCTCTACAGCCTCTAAAAGTAAATATCCTCATATATAGATAGAGGTATTAAGTAGATATTATACCCACCGTAGAGAAATCTCATAGGCACAGAATTTCCAAGAATCATTTAAGAATCTCACCGTGAACATGATCCTCCTACCATATATTGAATGAGGTGGCATTCCCACCACAAAGCACCTCAATCCCAGTATTGTGTATATTGCAAATTAAACATTTTAAAATAAATTTTTCTTAATTCCTTTTCAGAAGAGTGGTCTTTGATCTGTTTCTTTTTCTCATGTTTAGAATGATGCCAATTTGTACTTTTTAAATTATTAAAAATTTTTTTCTTTTTAAAGACTTCATTTATTCATTTATTTGAGACAGAGAGAGTGCATGTGAGGGGGGTGGGAGGAGCAGAGAGAGAGGGACAAGCAGACTCCGCTAAGCGCAGAGCCGGATCCCAGGACACCGAGATCACGGTCTGAATGAAATCAAGAGTCCCTTGCTAACTGCCTGAGCCACCGAGGCGCCCCTAAGTTTTTTTTTTTTAAGATTTATTTTAGAGAGAGCATGTGCAGTGGAGAGGAGCAGAGGGAGAATCTCAAGCTGACTCTGCACTGAGTGAGGAGCCCGACTCAGGGCTCCATCTCACAACCCAGAAATCATGACCTGACCCAAAAACAGGAGTTGGAGGCTTAACCGACTGCACCACCCAGGTGCCCGCCCCCATTTATGCTTTTATCCCACTTTGCAAAAGGAACACCGGTATTGCTCTAGTCTACTATTCTCTATTGTATCGTTCCTCACACCACAATTTTGTCATTGGTACTGCAACGCAGCAAATTTACTCTCCTCCAGGAAATTCCTAAATTCATCAGAAAATTCTTTTTCTTTTCTACCCCTTTGGACCCAACAGTCTTGCTAGGTAAAGCTTCATGCTTTACTCTCGCTTCTCTTCTATGGGATCATGTTCCAGTGTTTTCCCATTTCTCATTGTTCTTATGTTCTCTACCTTTTTTACTCTTGATATGTAAACCAACATTCCTAACTTGCTTCCCATTCTTTCCTTATGCTTCTAAATTCTTATTTTCCCCCACAACTTTTCCCTAAGGACAGTCCCAGATCAGTTTCAGGAGGTTGATTTGGTCCTGGTTTTTCTTTCTTTTTTTTTCCCCCAGATTTATTTATTTTAGAAAGGGGGGGCATGGAGGGAGGGGCAGAGGGAGAGAATCCGAAGTTGACTCCCTGCTGAGCATGGAGCCCTACAAGGGGCTAGGCTGGGTTGACGGGGGTGTACATCTAACGACCTGAGCTGAAGCCAAGAGTGGGTCACTCAATGGTCTGAGCCACCCAGGAGCCCAGTCCTGTTCTTTCCCTCTGTATTTTTTTTAAGATTTTATTTATTTGAGAGAGAGAGAGCACATGCCAGAGTGCTTGTGCACTAGCGGTGGGTATTTGAGAGAGAGCACGAGAGGGGTGAGGGTCAGAGGGAGAAGCAGACACCCTGCTGAGCAGGGCCCAATCCCAGGACCCTGGAATCATGACCTGAGCCAAAGGCAGACCCTTAACTGACTGAGCCACCCGGGTGCCCCTTTTCCCTCTGTATTCTTGCCCACTGGCAGAATTTCATTTATCTCCTTCTAGTTTTTTACCCTCACCCCATTTCTGATGTTCTAGTTTTCATTCCTTGCTCCTCCCATGAAAGGATTTGAAAATCTTTTATTCTTTTAGGTATTAATATTATCCCTTTCTTGGTGAGCACAAATGATATCTCTCTTCAGTGAGGAATTTATATTTTGATGAAAAATTATTTGAACCCAAACAGTGCATCTTTAAACTTGGAACTAAAGGATTTGGTGAAAGTATCTGTAGGCAGGAGCGCTTGGGTGGCTCAGTCAGTTAAGCATCTGCCTTCAGCTCACCTTTGGCTCAGGTCATGATCCTGCAGTCCCGGGATCAGAGCCCCAGGTCTTTGGGTTCCCAGCTCAGCGGGGAGTCTGCTTCTCCCTTTCTCTCCACCCCTCCCCCTGCTCATGCTCTCTTGCTCATTCTCTCTCAAATAAATAAATAAAATCTTAAAAAAGAAGGTATCTTTAAGCAATTTTTGAGATTGAATGCCTTCTGGTACTTTGAAAGACAGCAGCTTCATCTGCCCACCCATGAGGTTTACTCCTGTTTTCTCGTCCAAAATTGAGCTGATCCTGCTCTGAGTCTAACTTTTTCCATACTGCATGCTTATGAAAATTCTCCTTTCTCCCTGAATGGGAAATTCAAGTGTGCACTATACTCTAAATATAGTTCCATGCACACTTTCTCTAAGTATTCTTTTGACTCACAGGCAGATGGTGCAAACCCCAGCTGGTCTCCCCACTTCTGGGCCTTGCTTTTGATGACATCAAGCGGTGGATGCTGCTAGCCACAGGCTCCTCCCTCCTCTGCCTCAGGGTGTTTGTGTCAAAGCAACTATGTTCCACCCAGGCAGAGGTGCAAACAACTTGCCACCTTTAAGGTTACCCTTCCTCTGGTACTGAAGCAGCTGTAAACCAGTGAAGAAAGAAATCTGAGAAGAAACAGAAGACAGAAGAGCACCAGAGAAGGGGAGTTAGCAGATGGGACAGTAATGGCAGGTTGGCATCAGGGCAGGGGACCAGGACTCTGGAAGATGGGAATTCGCAGATCTGATGGGGAAAGGGAATTTGCAAAGTGTGGCCAAGAGGTCCCGAGAGACCTGGAACTTTACAGGGTAGAATGGGAAGACATCAGGAGCACAGCAGAAGAGAGGCAGGACTGTCCCCATAGTTTTGTCAACTCAGGGAGGTGGTTAAAAATACAACGCTCCAATCAACATTGAAATCCTGTATCATTTAGCATTTTCACTAACCAAACATCAGGGAAAGTGACTTATTGAGGTTCTCTGTGGTAGAGAAAGGAACATGTGGCCACAGTTTTTTTCTTTCTTTCTTTCTTTTTTTTTTCTAAAAACCAGTCAAGCAGAGCCAGAAGCAGTGGTCAGACAACAACTTCTGGGCAGAACCTAAGATGGAAAAAGCAAATGCTGTTTATATAAATAGAGGTGCAGAGCCCATAGCTTCCTGTTGACAAATTGAGCTTCACTTCACCTCAAACCCTCAATTTTTTTTTTTAAATAGCCGATAAAGGTTTTTTTTTTTTTCTTTCTTTCAATTTGTCCCATCACTTTAGGAAGGTTCTGGGTTTTTTCCTAACCCAGGGGGTCCTGCAGGTCTTTTCTCTATCTCAGCTAATTTTCTCCTTCCTCTCCCTTTTCCTTGCTTCTGCAGGTTTACCTACCATATGTGTAGCTTTGTGGGGTACATTATTAAATTTACATGATGAACCATGAGGACTGAATTCAGGATGGTCTTAAATTTGTGAGATTCGCCTCTTGCCTTAACCCGGAAAAAGAAGAACAGATGAACTTTGAGCAAATGCAAGCTAACAGTTAAATGGAAAATAACCTGAATGACACTTAAGGGATTGATGGGCATTGAGGTATCAACTGTGTCATTATACATTGTTTCCTAATATGTTGTTCTGTCCCTAAGGGTCAAACACATGAGTCACAATGAAGGATAATGAGGACTGCCCAGAAAAAGTTTTCTTCCATTTGTATAAAATGACATTCATATACCTACCCATCCATTTCCCAAAAGGGATGAGATTTTCAGAAGAAGGGAAAAAAATGTTTTTTTTTTCCCAAGATTTATTTATTTAAGTAATATCTACATCCAACGTGGGGCTCAAACTCACAACCCTGAGATTGAGAGTCACATGCTCCACTGACTGAGCCAGCCGGGTGTCCCAAAAAGTATTACTAATATAATAAGCTTATGAAAATGTGTAATGTTAACCTCAAAGTCAATAGGTGTTGAAAACAAAAATTACTTCGAAAATGTTCATATAAAATCCTGAATGACAACTCCTCAACTGGTTATTCAGAGAAACCACTTTGCTGGAGGTAATCTATAACTTGGTAAATTTTTTTTTAAGATTTTATTTATTTATTTGACAGAGAGAGACACAGCGAGAGAGAGAACACAAGCAGGGAGAGTGGGAGAGGGAGAAGCAGGCCTCCCGCGGAGCAGGGAGCCCGATGCGGGGCTCGATCCCAGGACCCTGGAATCACGACCTGAGCCGAAGGCAGACGCTTAACAACTGAGCCACCCAGGCACCCCTATAACTCGGTAATGTTAAACTATGCTCTTATGTTGCCATTATTTCACAAAAACTGGGGAAGATCAGGCACATTGTAATAAGTGGTAATGTACAATAATTCATAAATTATAAACTATATGTGTAAGTACAATTCATAAGAATCACAGTATCTTCTACTGACGCAGGGCAGGAATAATTTTTCTTGTCACATAGCAGCTAAAAAATATATGCATCTATGCATGGGGCACCTACACTCAAATCAACATGGTTCTAGGTATAATAAGATATATATTTACATCATCCTGTTCATTTCAACATAAAGGAATTCATGTTTCTTTCAGGGCCAGTCCTGATGTAGCACTCACTAGTTGTGTGTCCTAAGTGAATAGCTGCTCACCTGTAAATTTATGGGAGTACATCTACCTTTGGAGTTGTTCTGAGAATGAACAAGATCATGTATTCCAAAGGGTCAGCACCTGTAATATTATATATTTAATATAACAGTAAGATTTTTTTTCTACTTAAATGGATTGGTTTCTCCCTAACTGTTCTTGAGTAGGTTTACTCTTCCTTCCTTTGCAACAGAATGAGATAACCCTTGCTGATTAGCCACTGAGCAGACAGGTCTGCAAACCTGCAAAGAGTGTAAATATCACCAATACTAGTTTGTCTCTAATTTAAATTTTTTTCCCCACCATCCAAAATCTTTAATAAGAGAGCAGGATCTCGGGTTAGTTTCTGTAGCCCCCCACAGGCCCCTCCACCTCTGGCACACACGTCCCTTGGAATGTGCTCAGGGGTCTGATGTGGCCGTGCCCACTTCACGAGACCTTGCCCAAATGCTTGTACATCTCTCAGCCCTTTAGAGGATGGGAGCGCAGGTCGGGCTGGCGCCACAGCCCTTGGGGGGAGTCCAGGGCCAGCTGGTCTAAGGCGAGGATCTCATCTCTGCCCTTGAGGAAGTGTCTCTGGGCGTGGCCGTGCACGCGGAGTGCACACAGATACAGTTTGGCACCTTGGGCACACGCAACATCCTCTGTTACTGTCCCTACAACCACAGCTGTTTTGTCATCTCGGCCAGGAAGCTTCATCT